GAGTGGATGGCAAGAAAGACACGAAAAAGGTCAAAGGTGTCAAGAGTAATGTTGTAGCGCGAACGATATCTTTCAATGATTACGTACAGTGTTTGCAAGAGGAAATCGAAACGACTTGTCGTCAATCGTGCATACGATCAAAATTGCATGAAGTGTACACAGTGTCTGAGACAAAAATTGCTCTAAGTCCGTACGATGACAAACGGTATATCGTACCCGATTCGACTGAAACGTTACCATGGGGGCATTATAAAATACCATTATAAATAGAAAATATAGATAGAAATTTTATATTTTATGTGTAAATAGAATATAAATCGTATATTGTATATTTTATGTGTAAATAGAATATAAATCGTATATTGTATATTTTATGTGTAAATAGAATATAATTTATGTATTACATATAATAATTTTATGTGTAATGTAACGCTGCACTCGCGACTCGCGCAGTCGGCACACGTATCGGGTGCAGCGACAAAAGTATTTTATTCCTTTTGGTCCGCTCTCACAGTTCGGCGGATTTCGCGAGACCCAACAGCTCAACACAAAAAGGGAACTCTAACTGGGCGCCAGGAACGGCGGTCCGTACCCACTAAAAAAAAACTCGTCCACTAAACACGAAAAGGTTGGTCTCGCCGACGAGTAGCACTCGTCGTCCGCCCGAACGGCTGACCCGAACGTCCGGCAGCTCAGCCCTCTTCGCGGCAGAGGGGCTGGTTCGCGCGAGATCGGTGGTGAAGGGAAAGAGCGGTGACTAGGATAATTAAATGATCCGAAATATCTTGAGACAACGTTTATTGCTCGTTACCATTACACTGTTATTAGCCGGCAGCGCAATTGCTATGATAACAAACTGAGTCCTTGTTCGCAATCGCGACAGAGATTTTCGGCAGCGCGAGTTAGCGTCGTGACCGGCGGAGGTCACGACCGCCGTGTAAGCGCTCGGCGATGTGTCCGCGTCGACGGTACAACCGGCGGATGTTCGGCGGGTTTGCTAACGTCGAAATGATCCCCTGAGCTTGTCCCTCTAACGCGCGGGAGGGACGCGAGCCCTTGCCCTCGTCCAGAAGGGCGGCCGGGTCTCCGCTCGTCGACGCCTCGCCCGCTCCGCGCCACGAAAATCACCAAAATTTTGTCTTCGTCCCTTGTGGAACGGACTCACCAAAGCTTGAGCGGAGCGGGGGCAGTCGGTAGCTGGCCTCGGCGGTCATTCTGGACTCACACGAATGTGACCCTGGATCTCGCAGCGGTCTTACGGTCGAAGGTCGAGTCGTCGGTGCCTCGTCTTCCAGTTCTCGGCTCTACGGATGGCGCGTCCTTCACACTCTAGATTCCGTATTATTGGCGAGATTGGCGACAAAAGCTCACGAACGGTCGTTGTCGTCCTGTTTTATTTTAGGTGTTTGAACCCGCTTCCGACAGCTCTTGGGCGCTCATTGGCGGGAGCTTTCCCCCGTTTCTCGATC